GCACTTATATTTCTGGAGCTGGAACCAGTCTCCTATGACCTCAAATAGGTTTATTTTTCCCTTCCCTTCCCCTCCCCTTGGCCTGCCACCACACACAGTGATCCCAATCCCGATTTGCCCCCCTCCACCCCCAACCCTCACTCAGCTCTAGAAAGGGCAGTGATAAAAGGCTAGTGGTGCTCCCCATCCCAACGGCCTTGACGGATGTGGTTGGTTGTTCCATACGTAGGGAGCCTTGTCAGACCTGTGAATCACCCCTAGATCATTTCCTTCCTGGGAGAACGAGAAGGAACTGTTCCTGTGTGCGTGGCCGAGAGAGAGAGAAAGCAGGCTAGAGTGCCAGCCCGTGTGTGGTGCTGACCTTGGGCCTAGGACCCTGTTTGGCCTAGCCCTTTCCTGGAGCACCCCTCTGCTCCTTTCCCCCAGCACATGCTCATCCCCGTTCCTGCCCGGCTTACCAGGAAGCCATCCCTACATCAGCTCCAGGAAGCCATCCAGGTCTGAACAGCTGCTCCTCGCTTACGTTGTTGCTCTTGTACGCTGGGTGTTTTCCACGGGGCATGAAGCCCAATTTCCCATCCGACTGTGAACAGCTGGGCCTTCTTTTTTTGCCTCAGTCTTTCCTTTTCTCCCGGCTTCACCTATGGGGTCCAAACTGCACTCGGGCGTTTTGGTGATCAGGATTGCCAGGTAGAAACTAGTGTGTGTTGGGTGCTCACCATGGGGACCAGGGACTAAGTGGCAGCTTTACCCCAAACTGTCTCAGGTCAGTTTCCCCAGAGCTCTGTGAGGCTACAGGTGAGGAAGCCCAGTGTGGCTGGCCCCAGGCTGTGCAGCGAGGAAGAGCCCGAGGTGGGATTCAAACCCTGATCTGCCCAACAGCACTCATTCCCTCAGGGAACCGACCCCGAGAAGACCCTTCCCACGCCACCGCTGCCCATCCTTCCTCCCGTGGGGCCGGATCCGCAGTCTGAGAGCCCAGAGAGAAACTGATGGGCTAGGAAATGAACAGGTCTGGGACCAGCTCCTAGACCAGCTTGCTCCTAGGACCGAGAAAACATCTGTAATGATCTTCTCGGGAGAATGCATTATTTCCACAGGGCCAGGTGTCATCCTGGGTTTGTTCCATTCCTGCCTCACACTGACCTCCCTCCATGGCTCGGGGTGAATGTCCCACACAGGGAGGCAGCCCCAAGCACCACCCTGCATTGCTCTCTCACTGCCCTGCAGGTCTGGGGCGGGTCTCCCCACCAGATGAGAGGAGGGGCCCCATTTCAAGTTCATTTCCTCCCTTGCAGGTAAACTGGCCTGAGTTTACCCAGATCTGCCTTAAGCAGCTAGGAAACCCTGAGCAATCTCTAACTTCTCCAAGACTCAGTTAACCCATCTGCACAAAGACACCAAAGAACCAACCCCACGTTAGCGTACATTCGGGGAAAGGTAGGAGTCCCATGAAATCATGCCCATTAAGCGTTTGGCTCTGATGGTAAACGCCAATACTGGCTATTATTTGCATTCCCTAAAGAGTCCTGTAGAGGATCAGAACATTCACGACTGGTGTTTGTCTGAATTAAACAATCAGGAAAGGAAACAAGAGTGAAAGCACAACGCCTCCCGAAGCCAAACAAATAATTTCTTGTTTGCTTTGGAGAAACAAGCTTCTCTCCACCAACTCATGACTTGACATACACCTACACAGACATGTGTGTGCAAAGAATTCTGTGGGCCTGGACCCATAGTCTTGCGGAAAACTCGGAAATGAAGACATGTGCAGTTTGCACTCAGCATCATCAGGGTCATTTGAAACGCAAGTGGTCTGGGGCCGAAGCCAGTTTACCTAAGGTCTCCCCCGGGGCAGCTCACATAAGCTAAGAAAGGAGCACAGCTCCACGCCAGGGAGCCTGGCCGAGGCAGAGGCTGCCCACCCTCCCCTAAGCTCTCCCCAGGCAGGGGCTTGGCAGAGAGGAGGGAAGCCAGGGGCTGACAGCACATCCAAAAGATGGAGGCCACATGCCTGCCTTTCATCAACAGACCAAAAGCACAGACCCTCAGTGTCCAGGCAGCTCCCCCTCACCATGGGGAGGGCACGCCCTTTGCTGGATGTCCTGAGAGAACCTCTGCGTTGTGTTCCCAGCGTTCCGGAGCCAGCAGAGCCCTTCCCGTTTGGACCCCAGGCCTCTCATCAGCTCCCTCCGGCTAATGTGCACATCCCATAAAACCTCTCTGTTCTGCAGTCTGCCAAAACACAAACTCAGAATTCACCATCAGTGGAGGAGAGGTGGGAAGAAGGCATGCTTCTCCAGTGCAGAGGCTGCCAGACCGTATGCGACTTGGGCACAGTGTGTCCTGCCAGCTACCCACACCAGAGTGCCTTACCCAGAACGCGTTATCCAGGACACTTTACCTTCTGCAGCAAGTGTGGTGTCCACCGTGCACGAGCTGAGAAAGAAGGAAACCCTGCGCTTCAGAGGCATACCCTCCCCAACCTGCTTCTCCTGCTGCTGGGGGCCCCACCTACACTTTTTATTATTATTGGGCACCTTCTCCTTAAACACTATGCATTTGCACCCCGGTTGTGTTAGGGACCTCTTGCTACCACCAGATATTGCCTTCCTGGTGAACCCCATCTAGACTTAGGATACGTCAATGGACAAAATCCACATGATAGGTAAAAAACCAGTTAGACTCAGGTGCTGTGACTAGCTGTGCTGCAAATGACTTGACCCCATCTGGTCCTCAGTTTCCTCATCTGCAAAATGATGCGGTTGAGCCCGATGAGTCTGCGGGTCCCTGCCAGCTCCACAATTTCACAACACGAGACGCTTTCTCCTTTAACTGCTGTCCACAGTGTTAGTCCATGGCTCTACATGACCCCATCTACTTGGTGACATCATTCCCTGCCCCAAACATAATGTCGATTTCTATGTGAGAAACAGAGATGTCCTGAGAAACATCTCTGAAATGATTGTTTCAAGGGGAACTGGACAAGACTTCTTTTGTGTTTTTCACATAAAACAAGTTATTATCAATCTTAAAACCCAAAATCTCTCTTCCCTTTTGCCAGACCATTAATAGCTGCTTTTCAAAAGTGCTTTCTTAGTCGGAATCTCACCAAAAATAAGCTACCATTTAATGACTGCTTGTTACGTGCCAGGAACTGGGCGACCCGCTTCACATGGATGATCTCACTTAATTCCCCCAACAACCCTATGAAGTAGGCACTATTATTACCCTCGCTTTAAAAAGGAGGAAACTGAGGCCCTCAGAAGTTAAGTAACCCTCCTGAAGTCACCCAAAGCCCCAGGGCTTGACCACGTCTCAGCTCCCTGCAGCGGGTCCCTGGTCGCTTCGGCAACACCCCTGGCCCGCTGCCAGTATGTCCTGCATCTGTAATCTTGCACCGCATTGGTCGGATTGGTAAGATTTGATGTTTTCCTTAAAATCCAGAGCTGGACAAGAACATGCCTGGGTCTCAGAGCAGAGAGTGCCATCTGTTGAAAGCAGCACCAACCTTAACTGGGGACTAGAAAAGAGAACCCCTAACACTTAGCCTGCAACACTTGGGAGAGGAAAGTTAGGAAGGTGACTTGATAGTGAGTGCTGGGATGTGCAATGCAAAAGGACTTCTGTCCCTGGAGCAGGACGACCACCAGGTGACCTAAGTCCTCCAAAAAAGAGCTTTCTTGAAAAGCAGAGGAAGTTGCTTGTTGAGCCTAATAACGAAAAAGGAACAACTCTATGACCAATGTGAGGGAATGTCACCCCTGGGCACCCACCTCTCTGTCTAGTCAGGAACCAGCCCCCACAGTTTACCTCTTCTCCACCCTGAGCCCAGCCCCATTTGCTCCTCCAAGAAACCTCAAGTTCAGAGCTATTGGTGACAAAGGCAGAGTCCCTGAGGCTGACATTAGCATAAACCCCAGTTCCCTCCCCACAGGGAAATAAAAGGCATTTCAGAGACCAATGTGCAGTCTAGGCAGCAACCAACAGCCTGTTTTAATTGTTAAAATTAATGCTTTGAGCAGTCTAAATGCTCCTTTAAGTGCTTAATTTGCAAATAAGATGCAGTCCTTCTGCTTTGGTTGCCCGGCTGCCTACCTCTTCTGCGTCAAGTACAGGAGCACAGGCTGCTCAGCCGGGCGTCCTCAGGCGTCAAGGACACCCAGTTGACTTCCTAAGGTGCGAAGGATGGGAAGACAGGACTGGCTGAGATGAAAGGCGGCCAAGCCACACAGCCTCCGGAGCTCGGCTCAATCAACCTTAGCCCTTTCTCATTAAGTTAGGGGAAGAAAGGGGGAGGGGCAGCCGTTCCTCGGAGACCGCAGCAAACATTTGCCTTCTCGTGTCTGGAGATGGATCATCACTTTGGAGGAAATGAACCCGGTTAAGGGTCACGTCCAGAGTAGGGATAAAAGGAAAAGCCACAATTCTCCTCACACCGACAGACACAATGACTGTAAGAAGGAAATCAAAGCTCAGGGAGGAGGGCGGAGGTGGGGCCGGGGGCGCGGCGGCTTCCCTCTGCCCGCAGACCCAGGCCTAGGGAAGCAGAGACCAGCGCGAACGTGGGGCGAGCGCGAGGCTTCCTTCCCCAAGGCCGGCCTCGGAAAGAATCCCGGTCTGTGCGAGCGGGAGCGACCCGAGCCCCCAGGGAGGGCGGCGAAGGTGCTCTTTCCTAACAGCGCTTCCCGGCGAAGGTTGACGAACGCTCCCCCACCACCCATCAACGCTCAGGAGGACAGATGACTTCACCGCTGTAACAGACAAGGGCAGCCAATTGCCAATTTCAAAGCCAAAAAAGAAAACGCGGGGCTGGGGGAGGCAGTGAGTGGAGCAAGGATTGAAAAGGCGTCCCTGGAGAGCACAGCCTCGCAAAGAAACTCCATAACGAGGGCTGCCCTGGGGGCACTTAGCTTCGGGACTTAACAGCAGAGGGGAGCGAGGAACGACTCGGGGGTCCCTGGCAAGCCCCCTGCAGAGTTGTTTGGGGCAGTACTCACGTAGTGCTTGGAGGGGTTCCTCCGCTTCTCCACGTCCACCACGGTGGCATCTTGCACGCAGTAGGCGAGCATCTTCCTACAAAGCGAGTGGCGCCCCCCGGCGGCGTCACCTTCTCATCCCGTCCGGGCTCCGGCTCCTTCTCCTGCTTCCAGGGTCCCCCGGGCCACCCGCCACTTCGGCCCGGTGCGCCGCAGCCGGGGCTCCGGTGCCCACGGATACTGCACTGGCCGGGGCGGTCCCGGAGGGCACGCGGGCTCCGTGCGCCCCGGGCGGCTCCCTTTGGGCCTGCCGCGCTCCCCTTCCCTCCCGCGCCGCCGCCGCCGCTCTCCGGCTCGCCCGCCCGCTCTCTCCGCCGCCCGGTGGGTCCGGCGGGAACAGGCGGAGCAGAGGAGGGGCGGGGGTGTGTCCCTCCGGCGAGGGGACTGGGCGGGGACCCGGGAGCCTGCTGTCAGCGCGCCGGGGAGGGGCAGGCGGCGCCCCTTCGCGGTGCTTGGGCTCCGGGGGGCTCGGCGCTGGCGGAGACTGTGGGCGCAGGAGGCGGGGGCAGGGCCGGGCAGGCAAAGAAGGGAAGGGAGGGGAGGGGAGGGGAGAGAGGGGAAGCGCGCGGGGAGGGGCTCCAGGCCCGGGGGAGGGGCGACGAGGAGGGGGCTGTAGCCCAGGCGGACAGGCCAGGGCGGCCCAGCGCGCCCCCACGGGTCCGAGAGCGCAGTCGGTGGCCTGGCGCAGCCCAGGGCTACTTCGCGGGGCCCAGAAACTCTGGGTGGCTTCCGAGAGAGTGAAGGGGCGGGAGGGGTGGAGGGGGGAACCGAAGCCAGCGTGCCGGCACCCTGGCTCTTCGTCTTGGGGCAGGGTTTTTTTTTTTATGGTGTTTTTTTTTTTTTTTTGTCCACACCTTTACATGCCCTCTCACTCCTATACCCCCGATCTATTTAATGAAAAGTAGTTTATTACCCTGCTGTTACTGCCCAGGCTGCCCGAGGAAGAGAGGGCATGGGGAATGGAGAAGGGGCTGGCATTAAATCCTTCAAGCCTGAACCTCTTTTGATAAACCACCTGCCCCCTCGCGGGTCACAAAGGATCAATTTCTCCTTGGAAATGTGATCGATCTGCTGCCTGAGTCGTCCATCGATCTGGGCCTCTGTAACTAACCTGTGACATCATTTACCAGAGAGGTTACAAGGCTGCATAACACCACTGCCTTAAGCCCGGGGCTCCCCTGGGACCTTCCTCCCGGCGGGGGAGGAGGGAGGAGAGCACACAATGGTGGGAAAATCCACTGGATTGGGGGCCAGCTCATCATTGGTCCCAGACGCTGGCTTTCTCACCACCTCTCTTGCGTAGAAAACTGACTTTCCAAACCACTTGTCTTTCCCTGGATCTAGAGCACAATTACTATTTAATTCAATTTAATCCCATTTATTTTAACATTTTTTCCCACTCTAGTCTCAAATATATTTAAAGAGGTAGTGTTTTCACAATGAAACTTATTGCTTCACAATCACAATGAAGCTTTGTGGCCATGGACCAAGGTGAAACAGCTGAATTAACTGCATTAATATTTTCTTCTCTGCACTGTCAGAACCCACGTACCAATCTAAGACTTCATTCACACACTTGTTTCATGCAGAGTACCCCACTATTCCTCCTACCTTCTTGGGGAAGAATGCGAGAACCCCAAGCAATGCCACTATCTGCCTATTTGACCTTGTGTAAGTCTTTAGAGTCGCCTGAACGTTCTCATTTGTAAAATGTGGGTGCTGAACTAGATTGGCTTTTAAGATTCCTTCCTACATATGCTCCAAGCTCTTAACAGTACTTATTCCTATGGGGATATTTTGAGTTCTTTGTTTTTCATAATAAACATGTATAGATTTTGATGTTTAAAACGATTTTTTTAATTTCCTCTCTAAAATTCTAAAGTTTTAGGATTGATTGAGCACCTACACTATGCTCATTTGCAAGGCATTTAGGGGCAGAGGAGAGGGAGAGAATCCAATTACTTTTTGTGGCACTGAAAACCGAATCCCGCTGACAGATGCTTGTCCCTTCCCTCAAAGAGGAGAGAGTACAGCTGAGAAACAGGGACCCCCTCTAGACTGCATCTAACATAAGGTGATTAGGACTCAAGGAAATGGAAGCCTGGGGTAATCAAGGAGAGCTTCCTGGAGCACACTGTCCCCGTGCTGGACGCTGGAGGGTGGGCAGAGTTTGGAGCCCCCGGGAATACTCGGCCTCCTCTGAACTCTCCCAGGCCAGCAGCTGATTGGACGTGTGCGTATTTGTCCATAACACGCTCCCTTTCCTCTGAAAGCACCTCGTGCAGAGGGACTGGCTTTAAGTTGTCTTATACTTCTTTGCAGTGCTCATATAGCTGGGCACACTAACTTACACACCGCAGCAGTCACTTTGTAATAATCTGTTGAGTGGATGATCAGTGGAAGAAGGAAAGGGGGAGTGAGGAGATGTGACACGTGTAACCTGAAGCCTGAACCAGCTGGCGACAGGCAGAGGGCCGGGAGGACGGTGACTCCTGGGGCAGGGGCAGGGAAGGGAGTGAGGCACAGAGAAGGAAGTAAGGAGAGAGTGGTCACAGGGCTTCTCTACCAAAGAAGATGATTTAAAAAAACAAAACAAAACATTGTAAATGCTGGAACAGGGACCCTGGAAGAAGGCGATCCGGCAGCAACGCTCGGTGATGAAAAAAGAAGGAGCCCAGGCACTGCGCCCGGGCGCGGCCAGTTGGCCGGCACAGGGTGGGCCCAGAAGAGGCCCTCGGCACTGAGCTCCCTCGAGGGAAGGGGCCCTGCTGGTGAGTCAGGACAGCCTGTGGGTTCATGGTAAAAGGTTTCAAAATGGCACTCAGCCCCTCCTCCTCTGTGGACCACAAAGCATTCTGAAAATGCTAATTCAGCCTGCGAAGCCCCTGGCGAGGGGAGCTCCAGTTCAGCTGTAGGAGGGAAAGGAGAAGAGGGGGCTTGGCTTGCCTTGGGTCCTCTTGCCAGTCAGAGCAGACAGCTCTTCTAGGAGGCACCAGTGGTTCCCCTCTCACCCTGCTGCTTCTGACAAGGACCTGAGCATGACCCCAAGCACCGGGGTGGCGGGGGGAGGCGAAGCTGACTCAGTGCTCGCCTACAAGGTGATGGCCTTCTTCCAGCCTGAGAAACCCCAGACAACCTGACATCTCCTAAATCCAGGGTCTTGAAGCACAACTTGAGTGCTTCCAATGCCCCCTGAGCTCCCAAATTACCTCAACTGCAGGGAGCAACTGAGTGCCAGCCCTCACCCCAGCCCTACAGTGCTAAGATCTCTGAGAATTAGTTGGCAGAAGTTATTTATACTTGTGGGAGAAAATCTCTTCCCTCCTGGGGCCATATGCCCAAGAGTCTTTAAATAAAAATGGCACAGGCTCTCCCTTCTTCCTAGGGCATTTCTGCCTCTTTTTCTTTTTCCTCAGCAGTGCCCTAGGCATTCCTGGCTGTTCTAGACACATATACTGAGTGCCTGCCTCGCATGTGCCTGGCACGTCCCAGAAATGATTGAGACTAGCTGAAGACTCCTTGGAGAACAGACTTTGGTTCGTTCAATATCCCAGCATGCCTGGCACATAGTAGGTGCACTGGGTGGTCTGTGTTGAAACATCTGCTCAAGGAGCTGGTAGTGCTGGAGAGGATTAGGTAAACCCCTATGTGGCCCCCCTCCCCCCGTCTGTGAACTGGGGACGACTCCAATCTGAGGACCTTGTGTGAATTCAGGTGATAAAATATAATCATGAAGATACCAAAAAAAATAGGATAAAGGGGGAGGAGGACCCTAAATAAAGATGCATACTGACTGATACCTGAAAATCTGATTTTTCACAAACATGGTTGTAGGATGCTTTGCACTCTTTGCACACTCACAAGCACCTGCAGATCCAGAACATTGCTGTCCCCTGAACTCGGGGTCCCTCATTGCAATCCTTCATTCACACAAGCATCACTCTCCCTGGACCCCCATGGCGGTAGAATGGGCCTCCAGGGCGGGACTGTGTGTGTTTCCAGGGAGGTCTGTGTGCATGTGAATCCTATCGGTTCCTCATATGCAGAGCCCACCCGCCTCCTCTCCCCTGGAGTTTTCACGACCACCCCAAAGTAGACACCCAGGAGAGCACTGAAAAGAACTAATGCTAAACAAAGGCCCAGTATAATTCACTCTCCCTCCTCGGAAAGTTTATGGCCATTGCTAATCATCCATTTGGTTACTGACTGTACTTTGCTCTATGACAGCTCAGTAACTACCGTACTGAACCCTTATTTGCATCTTTTATTGTTCTCTAACTTTGCTGTGCTTAGGTTGTGCCTTCTAAACCAGTAAGAAGCCACTGAGGGTCTTGAGGACCCTGAACGTAGACTCTGTCACTACCCTTTCCCACCTCACCCCCACCACCCAGCACCTGGGCCACCTGCCACACACCCCCCACCCAGCACACCCAGCACAGGGCTTCCTATATAAAAAAGACTCAATAAATGGTTGTCTTTTTCAACTTTCTGGGGTCTCAGCAGGTCTTTGTAAATGCTGCTGATGAGAGTGATGTTGAAGAAGATTTTATTTGAACAGGGCTTGGGAGCCGGACTCACCCGACCTGGGTTCCAGTGCTGCTCAACAACAATGCAGCTCTGTGGCCTTGAAGGCACTCCCTGTATCTGGGTCTCTGGTGATCTTTTTGGTCCCTTCCATGCCCTAGCACGGTGGATAACTAGTGAGGTCTAGTGGACTGTTACACAGAGGTGTGCGAATTTCAGTGAAATTTGGGGCCCCCTCCTGGCCAAAGTGGTCTTAGCATCTTTAACTCCAGCCACGGGCCCAGGCTGTGTCCCTTCCTGTCCCTGGCTGACCTCTGGCAGGGACCAGCAGGAAGGCTGGCACAGGTCACCTGCCAATCTCCAGACCGTAAGCAGTCCAAGGTGCTCTTGTTTCTCTCTTCTCCTCCTCCTTTCCGTTCTCTCTCTGTCTCTCTTTCTTCCCCCACCCCACCCCTCCTCTCTGTCTCTCCTGCTGTCTCTCTTGCTCTCTCTTTCAAATCAGCCCTAATAGATGCATGTATGGGGAGAATCTTGAGGGTGGTCCCTCTGGTTTTGGAGTAGACAGTGAGGCCTACCTCCATTCTTTCCAGAGGGAAGTCAGTTGCTGGCCAGACTTCTCCTCACCTGGTTGCTGGGGAATAGGACCAGGATGAGGCCCCAGAACTGCCCTGTCTGCTGAGCCCCACTGCTCACTAACTGCAGCCATAATAATAGTCCCCTCCCCCCACTTGGCAAACCACCTGGTGGTAGATGCTGCCTCCCTCTGACTCCCAAAGCGGTAA